GAGGCGGGGCCGGCGTGGAGAGGGGGCGGGCTCAGACGCTGGGAGGGACCAGACGTTGAGACTGGAGGGTTTAGAGTCTGGAGGCTGGGACGCTGACGGGGCGGGCTCAGACCCTGGGGTGGTATGGCAAGGGTTGGCGGTCTTAGAAGGGGCACAGGGACTGAGAGGGGAGGGAGTCCTCGGGTGGGCTTTGCAGAGGGGGCAGGGGCTGGGACGTTAGAAGCTGAGGCCCGGGCAGGCTAAGAATTCAAAAGGGGATATGGATCTGAGAGCACCCGGATGGAACTGAGGAGTTAGGGCTGTAACTCAGGGGCGGGGCCAGAAGGAAGAGAGTCAGTGCCTTTCCTCTGCAACCCCTTCCGTGCCATTTCTACGTCTCGCCATCCTTTCTCTGTTCCCTTCTCAGGCTTCCTCTGTTCAGAGCTCCAGGCAACTCACCTCCTGAGTCTCCGCAGCCCACCTGACCCCTCCCATGCTGAGGCACAGGAGAAAGCTCAGGGGGAGCTAACCCTGACTCTCCAGGCTCTGGGGATGCCCCAGCCGGAGCCAGGAACCCCAGCCAGCCGGTTGCTGAGAGATGTCCATGCAAAGGTGAGGGACTTCCTCGCCTCTTGGACACGTTCTGAAAGCTTCCTGACTTGAGGAGAACTTTCGGTGACTCCCTCTTCTCCCACCTCTCTGCCCCTCCAATCTCCTTTCCTACCCAGTTCTTCACAGACCTCCCCCCCTTCTAGGCAGCCTACCCCTAATCCATACATTCCGTATCCACTTTATCATTTCCTCTCTGCCCACCCCCAACCCTCAACCCTCATTTCCCCGGGTAGGACTCAGCTAGAATAAACTAGATTCTATCTCTAGCCAACTCCAAATTCTGTAATCTACAGCTGGGGGCCAGCTTTCTTCTCCTTGTCTCCTCAGTAGCAGCATTAGAGGACGCACAGGGGAAATATCATGTGAAAGAGAGAGCCTGGCAGAATCCTTCTCCCCTTGTTTTTCCTTTCCTCCCCCCACTTCTAGATCTCAGATTTGCTTCCCTCACTGCCCCCTGGACACCTGGACCCCCTACTCACTCAGCCTCTGGATGTTCCTCGATGGGTATGAGAGATTCCCTGTGTCCCCCCCCCCCATACCCTTTCTAGGACCAGGGAGGGGAAAAGGTAGTGGATCTGGGCACGTGGGGTTTGGGGAGCTAAGGGGTGACTGTACAATTCCCTGGCCTAGGAGGCCCTGAGTACCCTCTCCAGCTGCCTACGGGATCAGTATTGCTACCGCCGTCGCCTCATGCTGACCAGGCTGGATCTCACAGCATCTGCCTTCCATTGGACAGAGCGGGCCCAGGTGGGTAGCAGGGAGGGCAGAAAGAGGAGCGCTTGGAGCTTGTACTGAAACAGCCTTAGAGTCTTGGATTCTTAGAATGGAAGAACTCGAAGGGACCTTAGAGCTCATCTGACTCTCCCTTGCATTTTACATATGGGGAAACTGAGGTCCAGAATGCCATATAGTGAGGCATGTCCTGAGCTGGTGAAGGAGCTGTGCTGCTAAAGCTTGGGGCCACTAGAGTTGCTCTCCCAGCCTGTTTTCTCTTCTCCCCAGACCCAGGGTACTGCCATGACAAACGTCTTGAAGCCCCTACGTCAGGGCTTGACCCCCGAGTCTGAAATCTCCCTTGCCCATGTCTTGGCTTCCCGGGCTGACCTCTCCCGACTGGTCCCAGCCTCTGGCCGGGCGGCCCGTCTGACCACCTGCTGCCCCATCAACAAGGTGCTGATGGGCCCAGTCGCTGACAGAGGGGGCCGGCCCAACGAGCTGGAGGCCCCCATGCCCAGCTGGCAGAGCCGTCGGGAGGCTGGGCACCAGCGCTGGGGACGGAAGAAAAAGAGACGGTGAACAGGATGCTGCCACCCATCGGGGCCATCTGGAGCCCTGTCACTGGGGGGGGGGCGGTGAAGGACCCCAGGGTCTGCATCCAGCTCCCCCATTCCCATTCCCACCAAAGCCAAGTTCTCTGGAAAAATAGATTTAATTTACAATATCTGTATCCCATGTTGTTGCCTGTGCCCGGAGCAGAACGGGGGAGAGGGAGGGCAAAGCTGGGGCTTTAAGGAGTAGGGGTCTCCCAAGTCACTGGCTTAAGCTTGGAGTCAGCACCACCCAGCTCCATATTAGAATTCTCCAACACTGGCAGTCTGTGATCCTGTGGGCACATGGAAGGCCCTGAGGGCACAGGCACTCCACCCGAGGATGTTGGCATTGGTTGGGATCTCCATGCCCACCCCGAGCTTGTCTGTCCATCCCCCTGTCTCCTCTGCCTTCTTACCAGCTGTGTCTCCTATAGCACAGAGGTAGGAGCCTTGTCGGAGGCAGACCCATCCAGGGGAGACTCAGTTTGGGTCCAGGCATGACGAAGATGGGTTCTCTTTTGGGTCCCAGGAGGTGATGGGGAAGGGGAACTCTCTTCAGAACCTGAAAAGGGGGAAAGTGGGGTCTTGTGATCCCCCCTGCAGCCCTCTAGTCCCTGCTTCCCTTCCCAGGGTCCAAGGGTCCAGTTCCTGCCACTCCCAAGGTCCAAGCACGGGGAGCCTCACCAGTCGAGGAGGGGACTTCCTGTGGGGGAAGGAGCCCAGGAGAGATAGCTCCCACCTTCTTCTTGCACTCGACCTCCACTCTGTCCTTGCAGTGGCGATGACAACAGAGCCCGCAGTCTGGGGGAGTGGGGAGGAGGGCCGGTCAGCGGGGGTGGGGCCCGGAAGTGTCCCGCTTCCTCCCCACCCCCCAATCACTCACCCCGGCAGCGGTATCCCTGCTTGGTGACTCCCCAGAGCTGAGGAGAGAGAAAATGGAGCGTGGGGTGGGGAGTAGGGGGTGGGGGAAGGACTGCGCAGGGGGCTGAGTTTTGTTTTTTTAACTCTCTGGCTTGGGATGTTTGGCCTGCTGGTCCAACTTCATGCATTTTTAAGAGGGAAGAACCGGCCCTGGGATTCCTTTCTCTATGGAGCGCCTTCTACCAGGCAGGCTGATACCCGTCGAGTGTCTTAGTAGAGCCTTGTTAGAGCATGGTCAAGAACAGTGACAGATCAGTGACAGGCCCAAGGTCACTCAGCCAACACGTGTTAGAAGCAGGCCTTTATTTCCTATCTTTCTGGCTCCAAGGCTAGCCTTCTCTGCCTCCTGCACCGTCATTTTAACGTTTTAGCCAACAGAAGCTATGGGCTTTTAAGTTTATTTTGGCTGTTTTAGGCAGGGAGAGTGATGAGCCAAGTGCCCAGTTCTTAAGAGGGCAGTGGCAATGGACCCCCGGGGCCTGGACACTGAGGTCCTCAGAGGAGATTTGGGGCAGGGGGACTCGAGTCTGAGGCGTCCTTAAAGAGCATGTGATCAAACTTACTCATTTTCCCCATGGGGAAACAGGCTTGAAACGAGGGACTTGTCAATCAAGTTAGTAATTAGGGCTGGAGACCAGGGGGAGGAGACTGGCAGGGAGGAAGGAGGATACCTGGGGTCCCTAGTCCCCAGTGGAAGGGACTGGTCACCTTCAGCCTTATAAAAAAGTGGGGCAGGGAGTGAGGCACCCAGGGGAGAAGGGGGAGAGGTGCTTACAAAACCGCTGCAGCTGCCACAGAATGTGGGCTTCTTAAAAGTGACCTCGTGGAAAGGGTGTAGAAATGACAGGCCCAGCTTGGCGCAGATGGCGCTGGCCCGAAGCAGGTAGGCTGTCAGCTCCTCCTGGCTGAAGGGACCATCACTGGACAAGTCAAGGCAAAAAAGGTCTCGGGGTTCTGGCTCTCCTACCCCTGTCCCCTGGACCTAGATGCCCTGGTACCCCTCAAGGACCCCAAGGTCCAGCCTCCCTCACATGGCATGAGAGTCCCTCATATTCAGGGCCCCCAGTCCTTACCCCTCCCCGAGGACCCAGGACTGCAGCTGTCCCCCCCAGCCCCTTTCAGGGACCCTGGTGTGTGCTGCTCACCCCTGTCGAGGGGGTGGGTGGAGGCCGTGGCAGGCAAAGGGAAAACTGCTGGACAGACGTTCAAAGTCTTCTTGAGAGATAGTGCCCCGGCCTTCTGGGTCATAGTTTTTGAAAATAGACTGTGGAAGGAAAGGACCCAGGGGGTCAACCTGAACGCACCGCCTTTGCTACCTGCTCTCCCCCCAACACACGCGCAGGCTTCCTCACCTCCACCAGCTGTTCCACGTGTCGGCTCAGAGTGGTCCTGTCAGGCTTGGGGGCTACTCCAGGAGCCCACTCTACTACTAGCGGTGCTTTGAAGGGGGAGGGGGGCTACAGAGAGAGACACGGGGAAACATTAGCCCGGACGGCAAAGCCAGAGGGGGTTTACAGTTCAGAGGTTTAGGATGCCTCTGTGTGGGGGGCAGTTCTCACCAGAGTCTTGGGACATCGGGGCTCCCGGGCATAGGAAAGTTCATAAATCTCATCTTCTGTGTAGAAGAGATCCAGAGACAGCTGAAGGAGAGAAGAGAAGGCATCATAGACTGTGCCCTTCTGCCCAGAGCTGAGCCCCTCAGGTCCCCCAGACCTGTTTCCTCAGACCCTACTCTGCCCCCTTGCTTCCTGTCCACCCCTCCCTGCCTCATGCTTAAGTGACTGACATCCGTAGAGAGGAAGGGATTTGCCCCAGGTGGTGGGGCAGAGCTGATGTTAGCCACTTGGCCCAGGGGTTTTCCCCACTGCACTGTACCTCCAGCATTAGCCCCCCTTCTTTTTTTTTTTTAACATACTGTTTTCTTGTGCTGGTGCCGACCATACAGGCAAGAGCATTTGCATGGGAGTTAGCCTCCCTCCCTCCCTCCTTTCTACTAGCAGGGAAACTGAGGTGAGGAAAAGGGAGGGGCCCTCAGTTCTGCCACCCCAGTCTTCCTGCACCGTGAGCAGATGCAGCAGGTCTTCGCTGGCACTGCCAGGTGGACTCTGGGTCTGGAGAGCCCTGAGCTCTTGCAGCCGAAGATAGAGGCTATTAAGCTTGGCCACGTGAAGCTGCCCATCCGGCAGGTGGTCGGGCATCGCCTGGTGCAGCGAGACGAGGTCCTTCAGGTGGACGCCCAGGATGGGCAGGCGGAAGCCTGAGCAGCCAGCCCAGGCTCGGCGATAGAGAGCGTAATTGTTGTGGGAGCTCAGGAGCTCTGTCAGCTCCAGTAGGGTCTGAAGCATTGGAGGAGAAAGAAGCAGAGAGAAGGAAAGTGGACAGGACAAGATGGCATGGCAGGGATAAGAGAGAGGTCAGAGCTGGAAGAATCCCATCCCCTGGGCCTGAGGACCCAGGAAGGACCCTCAGAGACCACCCACTTCCTTTTACAGTAAGGGGGAAACTGAGACCAGGAGAGGGGAAAGGATGCCACCTCCTTTTACTAAGAGGGAAACTGAGCCCAGGAGAGGGGAAAGGGCTGGGCCAGGGTTGCTCAGTGAATTAGGAGCAGTTGGGAAATAAAAAAGGATGGAGAGGGACCCCCCAGACTCTTTGTGGGTCAGATGGGGGAGGCCAGGGGCACACAAGGTCGGGCATTCTGTGCTCAGGAAGAGAAGGGGGGCAGAGAGGCTATCCTGGGGGCCGGTCTGGCTGGCTCACCTTGGTGCTGTCGGGGCTCAGCTGTGCATGAGAATCCTTGAGCCGGGAGATGGCGCTGTGGCATAGGCCACCAGTCACCGCCATGAGCGTGTTAAAATTCTGCAACTGCCGCAGCCTCTGAAGGGAGGAGTGAAAGTGCCACATAAATGGGCACCGACTCAGGGGAGGGTCAGGTCCATGTGTAGACAGGACGGGGAGTCAGGCAGGTGTTTGTGGGAGTCACACGGGTGGGGGGAGGGGCGAGTCCATCCTGGGCCCCCCCCAATGGTGGGAAGTGTACTATATTTGGAAAGTAGTGAATCTGGGTTCAAATGTGACCTCAAACACTAGCTATGTGACCCTGGGCAAGTCACTTAACCCCTATTTGCCTCACTTCCTCATCTGTTAAAAGGAGATACACGGGAGAAGGAAATGGCAAACTGCTCCAGCATCTTTGCCAAGAAAACCCCATAGACAATGTCCATAGAGATGGACGTGACTGAAAAGCCCAATGAACACTCCAACTCTGCCTCTGTGTCACTTGTGTGACCAAGTGGGACAGTCACCTGTGCTACTTCGGGCCAGAATCCCTCTCTCTTGGCCTCAGTTTCCTCATTTGTAAAATGAGGGGACTGGACCAGATTATCCCCGCCCCCGCCCCCAGCTTTAAATCTGTGATTCTATGAACACTTATCATAGAGTTAGGAGGGGCTGGGGTCAATAGGAAGTCAAAAGCATCTGAGGGATGCCCCCAAACCTGGCTCTTGGCCAAATGGAGCTGGGGCCTGGGATACAGCCTAGGATGCTGCTGCTTTGGAGGACAGGGTGGCTGGGGGCCCACATCTCACCTGGGCCACATGAATGAACTTATCAAGCACCTGGCCTCTCTGAGATGGGCTGGGTCGACTCAGGACCATGACCTGTACCCATCTGGACACACTGTTGGTGAGGCCTACAGAGCCCTCCAGGGCTGGGCAGCCTCGTACTGAGCCATGGAGGACATAGCCGCGCAGGTCCTGAGGCTAGGGAGAGGGGAGAGATGCTTAGGAATGTCCTGAGTCCTGGCCACAGACACAGAGCTGCCCCGAAGGCTCAAAAGTAGAGAAGTGGAGCACCCGATGTCAGCCCCTCTTCATAGCCCTGTCTCAGGACATAAGCATTAGAACCACTAGCCCTCTCCCCAGCCCAAACTCCCCAGGGACCTCCACAGCCAGGTCTCAGGGTACAAGTCACCGGAGCTGTCTTGGGCCCCAAGCCCTGACCACTGGAGCTTCCTGTCTCTCCTCCCAGCTGAGTCTCAGACCCAAGCTTTCATCTAGGCCTCTGTCTAGGACATCTGGACCAAATTCCTGACCCTTTCACAGCTCCTCACTCCCAGGAGGAAAAGCACCTGGCTCCCCCATCTTCTCCCCTGACAGGCCTAGCTCTGAACCTAATCATCTACCCCCTACCCCAAGCTCTACCTCCCTCACAGCCTGGTCTTAGGTTTCAAGTATCCAAATCATTCCTTCATCCAACAAACTTTGCTAATCAAGGCATAAGGCTTTGGATACAAAGGGACCTAGTTCTTGCCTTCTAGAATTTTGTTAAACCTGCTCCCCTCTGCCTCTGCCCCTAGTTCTTACTTAGAATCTGAGTCCTGGGCCCACCCAGGTCTGACCACTGGGTGCCCTTGTTTCTTGTCCCCAGCCCTGAATCACTAGCTAGCTTTTTTCCCCTCAAAGCTCTGTTTCAGGATCCTCCAATCCCTCCAGGGCCTCCAATTCTGACTTCAGGACCCCTCTGTCTCTATCCTATAATAGACTTTCTCAAGGTCCATGTGAGCAGGGCAAGGGCCTCTCTCTTCCTCTCTCCCTCCTTCCGACACATCCGTTTGTAGGACCTCACCGTGATGGCCCGGAAAGCCCTGAACTCTAGGTCCGTGAGGTGTTCTGCCAGCTCCCCTGTCTGCAGGTGGTCAAAGATGAGCGACACCTTGCGTTTCTTCCCCAGCCCTGGGCTGTTTGATGGGGGGAGAGGTCCCTCTGGGGGACTCAGGCTGAGGAGGCAAAAGGGTAGATGATTCAGAGAGAAGGAACATAAGGGAGTGATGACAGAAAAAATAGGTGGAAGAGACACTGCAGATAGGGCTGGGGTACCAGAAGGAGAGAGTGGACAGTGACAAATCCCTCACCTCCCAGTGGAGGTCTCGAGGCATCTCGGGGCTGCATTGCCCTCCTGCTCCACCAATTCCCAGAAGTTGCTGATGATTTCATCGAGGTGGGGTTCCAGGTGCAGGGCCTCGGGGTATTGGCCCATCCAGTACCTGAGGGAGCGGGTAAGCGGAGGAAGTCAAATCTGGGGGACCTCTGGGAGGGAGGCAGAGGGCATTTCTGGGAGCTGGCAATGTAGGTTATAGGATTTCTTGCTGCCTGGAAGGCTCATTTAGTCTGTTCACATTGATTTGACAGGTGAGGAAAGTAAGGGCCAGAGGCTTAAAGCTAGAGAATCTTGGGCTGGGGGAGGTGTCTCTGACAGCTGATTAGACACATAGGCTATCTCTTGGAGGAAGGTTAGGACTTAGTCTAGTGGAGCAGGCTCTGTGCTGAGGCATGTTGGGGGAGTTTTCTGGGATTGGGGATACCTCCAGTGGCCAGAGTCTGCCCTAGTCCTGGGTTATAGGAAAGAAGGGGTCCTCACCTGACTAGGTTACAGATCTGCAGCCTTCTCTGCTCTTGTCGATCTCCTTTGGCCTCCTGGTACGTGGGTCTGTTAAGGGTCTTCCCATGGCAGCTTCCGCCCCCCCCACCTCGGTCATGGCCACCCCACACCTCCCTTTACACTTCTCCCACTGCTCCCCTGGAGGATATATGCTGAGCAGGCGCCGGGCAAAGTCAGCTGAGGACAGCACCCAGCTGTGCATGGTCAAGGCCATGTTGAGCATGTGGTCCCCTCGGCACAGTCCGCCAGCTGTGTCTGTGTCAGGGGTGAGAGGGATGGGGGTGGAGAGAGTCTAAGAACACAAGGCATCTCATTGGGGTGGGGGTGCCCTACTTAAAGATCATTGCCAAGTCCCATCATTCATTGTCTAAGTGGGGACACGAAGGCTCAGAGAGGGACGGCACTTGTCATTAGCCACACGGTGAGTTAGGACTAGAATCCAGGTTTTCTGACTTTGAATCCAAGGGACTGTCCATCAACCCACAGTTTGACACTTTCATCAGAGGGGCAGGGATTGGAGGCTGGCAGGTCAAAGATCAGAGGACTAGGAGTTCTATAGTTAGTAACCAACGGTCAAGGGTCAGTGGTCAACAACAACAACAATAAAAATAATAATACCTAATATTTATATAGTGCTTGCTATGTGCCAGGCACTGTGTTAAGCACTTTACTATTATTATCTCATTTGATCCTGACAATAATCCTGGGAAGTAAGTGTTATTATTATCCCCACTTTACAGATGAGGAAATTGAGGCAAACAAAGGTTAATTGACTTGCCCAGGACCACACACAACTAAAAAGTGTCTGAGGTCATATTTGAACAAAGGTCTTCCTGACTCCAGGTCTATGCTCTGTGGCACCATCTGGTGGCCTGGTTAGAGAACAGGTGTGGGAGGGAAGGGTATGGGGCTGCATATTGCAAGTGCAGCACTGGGGACTTACCGAAGGAATGGATGCATTTCTCCAGTAATTCATCCAGGCTGCAGCCTCTGCTGAAGGGTCCCAGTGTCATGGAGGCCATGACCTTGGTGATCTCCCGGGGGCTGGGGCAAGTCATGTGCCTCCGGCCCTGGCGGGCCCTCCCCCGGTTCGGTGCAGTTCCCAAGCATTCCAAGTGACCCTTCCTGCAGGCAGAACCCCAGTGTTACAGCACCCCATTATCTCTCCATAACTCCAGGCTCAGTTCAGGGTGTCTCCTAAGCCCTGCCTCCATTTCACAGGTCCATGCTGCTCCAGGCATCACTTACTTCAGACACACTCTCAAGATTACACCCCACCCCCACACACAACCCAGGATCGCCCCTCAACTATTGTGAATAGAGTCCTCAGATAGGGTGAGACTTGGGGAGGTCTAGATGTCTTATTTTCCAGTCTCCCCGTTAGCAGGATTCCAGGCATCTGGGCTGCCAGCTGTAGGGAATGGGGATGAGGGAGTATTCAGTCACTGACTCCAGGCTTCTCTGAGCTGGACTGAGTCCCTTGGGCTGAGATAGCTTCAAGGAAAGGTTAAAAATAGACCATCCAGCATGGAACAGAGGGACCTCTGGGGAATTGGGGTGGGGGGAGACCCAGGGATGAGGGGAACTTATGAGACCCAGCATGGAGGGGGAGAGGGAAAAGGACAAAGAAGGAAAGACAGAGCAGATCTAGAGAAAGGACAGAAAAGATGTAGAAGGTGGGGTAGAAATACAAGGAAAGTAATGAAAAAAGATAGTTATGGAGAGTGATCACAGAATGTTAAAGCTGGGACAAATTATCTAGACCAAATCTGTCATTTTACAGATGAGGAAACTGAGACCCAGAGAAGGGAGGTCTTTGGTCATAATGAGGCTGAGCAAGGACTTAAATCCAGGTCTCTTGGGACAAAGAAGGAAAGATGGAACCAGAGGAAAAGGAAATATTCACAAGTTTTCTCTTACAAATGAATCCATATTGAGGCCTTTAGTCAATGTACAGCAACTCCTCCCCCACACACACACCAAGTCCTAGGGTGTGCAGGCAGCTGGGAGTGGCCCAGAGCCTCAGCTCCTTCCCCTTCCCCTGCCTGGTTCCTCCACTTCCTCCAGCAGAAGGAGGAGTACTAAAGTCCTTTCCTACTTTGCTGCCCTTCTCTTACCTGCTGCCAGGCAGGTCTTTCCCTGTCCCTGGTCCTGGCCCATCTCCCTCAGAGGAGATAGGAGCCCTGGTAAAAACCAGGGCTCAAGAGACCCAGCCAGCCCAAGAGCTGTTTGTCACACTCCCTGAGGTCCCTAGCAACCTGGAGTTTCCAGCCCTGGGGGGAGCCCTAGAAACCCAGGCATGCTAGACTCTTCTCTTGCCCTACCCCTTGGGACCTAGTGGTTTTCCAAGAGTAGAGGAGACTATTTTGGGGGCATCCTTGGATGTGGGGGTGGGGTGGGAGGGAAGCAGGCAGAAAGAGACAAACATACCAACATAGACAGATGGATATGAATGACACAGAGTGATAATAATAACTCATTTCTAAAATGACATCAGGGTCATTAAGTGCTTCCTCCACAATAATTCTGGAAGGTGGAAAGTACGAATAGCAGCCTCATGTTACAGGAAAGGAAACTGAGGTCTAGAGAAGCTGTATGACTTCTGGAAGTTCACATAGCTGGTGTGAGAGAGAGGATTTTAATCAAAGGACTTAGACCTTGAAGCTGCCTTAGAGTTCCCCACGCGTAACCTCCTCATTAGAGACAGAGACTAGGTTAGACTTGGTGAACTTTAAGGCAGCAGATAGAGATGCAGATAGAGATGGACAGACAGATGGAGAGATAGAGAGATAAACAGAGAGAAATGAAAGAGAAAGATCTTTTGTTTCTGTATCACCTTCATTCCCCACCCCCACAGAACATTCCCCTGGAGCAAAGATAAGAAAGAGGAAAGAAAAAACAATTCAGCCAAACTAAATCAGAAAACAACCATGCCTAGTCACATATGAAGTAATACACACCCTTAGGCCCCCACCTCTACAACGAAGCCAACCAGCATGATTGAGTGGAAAGAGCTGCAGATGTGAAGTGAGAAGATCTGTGTTTGAATCCCAGATTCACTACCACCTGTGTGACACTGAGCTAACCTCTTAACTTCTTGGGACCTCAGTTTCCTCATCTATAAAATGAGGCAGTTGCAGGGCAGCTAAGTGGCACAGTGGATAGAACACCGGCCCTGGAGTCTGGAGGACCTGAGTTCCAATTTGGCCTCAGACACATAACACATACTAGCTGACATATAACATTTAACCCCAATTATCTCCCTCCTTCCCCCCAAAAAGAAACTTTAAAATGAGGTGGTTGGACCAAATGATGTTTACGGTTCCTTCTAGGTCTATAATTCCTCATTTTACAGATAAGGAAATTGAGGCCCCAACACATGACATAATGAGCTCAAGGAAAAGATAAGAGGCTTGAATCTGGTTCCCCCCCTCTTTTTTTCCAAATCTAGGGATCTTTTCATTACATCACAAGCCTACAGTGTGAGCTGAGCACACACATACACACACACAGAGCAAAACGGCATCAGAGACAGGAGGTATCACAGCCACAATGTTACACTCAGAGACAGGGTTATAAATAATAGCATTACAAGAGATACAGAGTGACACAGTGCTCCGCATAGGTATACACAGAGGGACCCACAAAATCCTCAAATGTTGCAGAAAGATACAAACACATAGAGATTTATGTTTTTACATAGAAAAATAAATAGGCAGTAGAGACAGAGAGTGTGAAAGTTACACATGGAGATAGTGTTACAATGTTATACACAGTTGCAGAGACAAAGACACAAAGTATGGAGACAGTTACAGAGATAGTTTCAATGTTACACAGACAGATACAAAGTTATACTAGGGGTGCAGAGTTATAATGTTATACACAATTACAGAGATAGAGACATAAAGTTACACATGGAGATAGTTACAATGTTAAACACAGTTGCTGAGAGATAGGGACACAGTTACACAGTTACATTGTTGGGTTTGGACAGACAGACACAAGAATACACAGGTTGGGTGACATTCATCGTTCTGGCATTAGCTGGTACCTTAGTGATCATTTCAGTCATCCACTTTCTTTTTATGGAGGAGAAAACTGAAGCCCAGAAAAGAAGAATGCTTTGCCCAAGATCAGAGTGGGCCAACCCACACGTACTGCACCCCAGCCTGCAGCCTAGAGGAATAGGACTCTAGAGGGGACCCAAGTGTCTGATCTCTTCCTCCCACACCACTTTGGATTGACTTTCTCCCCAGAATAATGACTTGAAGAGCTCCTTCTTCCCTAAGGGAAGGGAAGATTGCGACGGTTCTTAGAATATAAAGCATAGAATGTCAGAGCTGGGAGTACTCTTAGGACTCAGAACCATGGAGTTGGAAAATTCTTAGTACGCAGAAGGTCAGAACTGGAAGAGAATATCAGAGGTAGAAGATTTCCTTAGAACACAGAATCGTAGCACTGGAAAGGATCTTAGAAGAGAGAATGTCAGAACTGGGAGGTTCCTTAAGCATACAATTTAACCCTCTCTTTCTCCTCTTCATCCTTCCCTTAAGAACGCAAGACCCTAAACGTCTAAGCAACCCAGTTTTCTACATATCCTTGGCTAGATCACTTCCCTCCCATCCATCCTCCCTATAATCCCCCCACCCCCAATAAGAGACAGATATAAAGAGAATGGGAGGGGCCTGGAGAATAGGAGGAAGGGAGTCAGTAAGGAAGGAGGGGCAGGGGCTAGGGGATCCCCTCACCTCTTGCTTTCTTTCCGGTTCATGTTGCCCCCTGGGGAGGGAGGGGGAGGAGGTCTAGGCTCCTAGGTAGCCCAGGCTGGGTTGGGTGTCCCTGGGCCCCTCCCCCTCAGGGCCCCCTCACAGCTACTGGAGCCTGGACTTTTTTCCTTCCAGTGAAAGAGGAACTGACCCCCTTCCCCCACTGCCTGTCAGAAAGAGAGGAAGAGATACAGGGAGAGACCAGCCCTGGGTAGCCTGGGGGAGGGGGATCCCCTGAGGCTCCTGCATTGGCCCTCTAGCTCCGCCTGGGTCTCCCTCTCAGTCTTGCTGGGTATTTCTGTCCCTCTCTGTTTCTCTTGATATTATCTTCTCTCTCACTATCTTTGCCTCTTTTTTTCCTCTGTCAAGCCCCATTATCTCTGTCTCAGATTCTCTTCTTATGGTCTGTCCCTTCCTCCTGACTCTTTCTCACTCTGGCTGAGACATTGACTTTACCACCTGCTTCTTCCAGATGCTCTTCCAGCCCTCTCTATAGTGAATCCAGCTGTGTCCAAGGAGAAAACAGATGTTGTTCCCCTCCCCCTCGGGGATCTGTGTGACTGTAACTGGTTCTCTGTGAGGCTAGAGGGGAGGGGAGGAGCTGAAGTGGGCCTGGACCTCAAGGGAAGTTGGAGACGCCCCCTCCTTTCCTCACAGAGGAAAGAGTGAAAGGGATGGATGGTAAAACATGATGACTGTAAGTGATTAAAGATACCTGGGGCTCCCCTCTTTCCTCTCCCATGACACAGCTAGGGAAATGGTACAGATGTGCTGAGTGAGGAAGGAAACTGCTGGTTTCCTGAGTCTTCTGATGGGGGAGGGGAGGAAGGGAAGTCAGGCAGGGTGACGTGCTGAGGTTTCCTACACCTCCCCACCACCCCAGTCTGTTACCCATAATACCTAGCGAGCATATTTGCATAAGCATACACACCTGTGCTCAGTGGTTCAGCCCAGGTCATGTGCCCTGTCTCCAGTGGGTGGGGCAAGGGCTCAGTGCTATGTAAATTATATGCAGAGAGGAGAGAGAGAGAGAGAGAGAGAGAGAGAGAGAGAGAGAGAGAGAGAG